CAAATGATTCAAGAACATGGAAAAGGTAAACAGGTACCAGAATTTTTAAATAATGGTTTCTATTCAACGACTTCATCAATTCATATTCTATTAATTGAGTTAAGATAGAATTTAAGTACTGATAAAAACAAAGGAATTCTTATAACAGACATGTATGGGACATTTTCATTATTTAATGATTTAAAATGATCCGGACACGTTCAATTTGAGTCTTGCCAGGAGACTGACTTGGGCCTGAGATCTTGATCAATATCTTTTCGAATTCGCTATATAAGATACCTGTTTTGTTTTGCTTTAAAATAAAAGAAGTTTTCGCCAAATCGAACTTAAGAGAATACTAGAAGTTTAGCTTGCAATGTGTACATAGTATACACATATTTTCCCTGTACTTATATTCTCCAATCACGCCGACTATTGCTGCAAATTGCTCGGCTCATATTAAACACAAATTTGGCAAATCCAAAGGCCATCTTAAATATAAATTTTGGGTTACATACAAGCATCTTGTTTGATTTGTTTGTTTAATGACACATCAATTCCTTAGGATCATTTAATGTCGATATTGAATTTTCTTGGGAGCTTTGAAGTAATGAAAATAAGATATATCATATTCTGCTTTCAGAATTGACTACGTGGAAGATGATACTCAGCTTTTGTGTATATACATGATTGTGTGGACATAATTATTATTGGTGGTGATATGTGTATCTCCTGCAACTCTTCTGGACGGTCTCCTTGTTTAAGTTGGTGAATGCTGCCATAATCTTTGCCTTCAGTTCATCTTTGTTGCTACCAGGAGTTTTGTTGGTCTCTCGCTCAACTGTGCCCCACACATAATAATCAAGGGGGGGTGCAGTCTCCAGAATTAAGTGGCCAGATATAAGGGGTGATGTGATCATAGAAATTGTCTGACAGCCATTTCTTGCTTGGGAGTTCATTTCTGATCAGAATGATCAGAGTGAGTTTTCTGAGCTGCCGTACCTTCGTAATCATCATTAGGCTCATCCGACTCTTTCTGAATCCTCTGCACTTTTTTCATTTGTTTTCATTGTGTAGAGAAAACTTCAGGTTGAAATAGTGTTAATTATGATGCTGACTGATTGATTTCTTTGTTTAACGGCATATCGACTCCTTATGGGTCATTTAATGCCGAAATTGAGTTTTCTTGGGAGCTTTGAAGTAATAAAAATATGATATATATATCATTCTGCTTTCACAAGTGATTACATGGAAGATGATACTAGACGTTTGTGCATATATGTGTATATGTGAAAATAATTACTAGAGGCGGTGATATGTATGTTTTAGATCTGTTGAAGTTAAATTTTGGAATAGAGTTTGATTTCTTTAAGAAATTGTAGGATAATATGTGGATTAATGTTATGAGAGATTTCTTTGATATTGTTTCTTTGTTTGGTTGATTTTGTTTAACAAAATATCAATCTTTATGGGTTATTTAATGCCAAAATCTAAATACTTTAAAAAAAAAGTTTTTTTTTTATTCAACTAAATATATTTTGAACGCAATTGTATTAACTACAGGTAAAATATATTGTTAATCATTTTGCTATAAAATATATTATTGGTAATCCTATTAAAATAGTTATTGTTGGTAATTTTCTTTATATGAAAATGTATTGCTGGTATTTTTAGGATAAAAATGTTTTTTATACATTCATTGTCTTTTGATTTTGTTTGGAGGTTCACTATTTCCCATCTCTGGTACCCTAACATTTGCTATCAACCCGGTCAGGGTTGTCCTGGGAACAACAGCTATTAAGAGTTGGTTCCAAGATCCTTACAACGTCTTATATCCCAATCAGTGGGATTGCTTCTGGATGTAGTTTATCGTCATACCCAGGTCTACCATACATGAAACAAGAAAACAGATCATTCAGTTTACAAATAAAGAACATATATCGTAGGTACGAGGGGTATGATTTCACCTGAATCATTTGCAGCATATCTCGAAAGGATTGTCAGAGAGAATGGCAATCACAAATGATTCAAGAACATGGAAAAGGTAAACAGGTACCAGAATTTTTAAATAATGGTTTCTATTCAACGACTTCATCAATTCATATTCTATTAATTGAGTTAAGATAGAATTTAATGAAAATACTGCGTTATGAAAATGTGTGTTCAACAGCAGTAAGACATAGCGTAATTTTCTAATGTTATTCATATAAATTTAAGAAATTAAGCCTAGCCAAGACACAAAATAATCATCCATTAATTAAATTAAATCGATAAAATGATCAAACATTTATAACTTTTTAGTTTCTTACAGCAATATCATTAGTCATGATCTGGCATCTCTGTTTAAGTCACTTTCCCTAATGTCATAAAGTTGTTTCCCGATCACTTTTCTAAAAATCCTTTCATGGTAACTGTTGCGATGAACCCTTCGTTATGGTACCTAGACATTATGAATTTAAGCGCAGTACTTGATTGGCAATAAGGTCTCATCAGTTTACAGTGGAAATGGTTAGATGTAACCCTAAGTTCTATGTTAACAGTTTCTTTTCTCGCACTTCTGGATTGTGGAACTCTCTTCCGGCTCCATGCTTTCCAGCAAACTTTGAGCTACAAAAATTCAAATGCAATGTCAATCGTTATCTACTGTCCTCTTGATTACTCTTCTCCTGTTCACGGTCCTTAATGTTTCTCTTGTTTCTTTTTTTTTTTTTTTTTTTTTTTACACTCAGTAACACCTTGTGTCTTAGGAACTTTATTGCTTTGCATTGGGTGATATGATTACAAAAAAAAAATGCTATTCTGGGTTGAAAGAAATGAGAAAAACGTGGTTACGTTTATGATTTCATTTGAATCATTTACAGCATATCTTGAAAGGAGTGTCAGAGGGAATGGCAATGACAAAAACAGAGAATATCCGAACCATTATCTTAGTTAACCTCAAACTTAATCTAATGAATTTGGAACGTTTAATGAAGTTCTTTCTTCTGGCAACACAACAAGAAGAACTCCTGTGATAATGAAACCTTACTCGCATTCTTTGTTTCGTTTGAACAAAACTCTGTCAACTTTGCCTCCTTGAAACAGAGTTTTTTTAAAAAGTTTCCTACTGAAAAGAATATATATATATATATATATATATATATATATATATATATATATATATATACAAATTTGGATTGAACGAGAGAAGGGATTTCCTCTTCATAAATCGTAAATTTTCTGGTCACCAGATCCCAACGGTAAGGAGAAATTTCCGATTTAATGCTGTCAGATGCTGACTCATTCTGCTTTTGCATTGGCACATAATCCATCATTTTAAAAATCAAATAATTCTCCTGTGCTGTTGGCGCCACTCGCCGTGAAAACTATTTTCGTTTAATCTTTCTTTTTTTTTCTTTCTTAACCAACGTGTACTGAACTACAGCTTACGGTCATATCTCGTTGAAACACTGGTTCTTGTCGAAGTTAAGCAACGTTGAACCTGGTCAGTAGGTAGACGGGTGAGCGCGTGGGAATATATAGTTGACTTTTTTCTTTCTTAACCAACATGTACTAATTTACAGCTTACGGCCATATCACGTTGGCGCACCGATTCTCGTTGAAGTTAAGCAATGTTGAGCCTGGTCAGTAAGTAGATGGGTGATTTCTTAGGAATACCAGGTTGATTTTTCTTTTATTCTTTCTTAGCCGACATTTACTAATTTACAGTTTAGAGCCATATCACGTTGAAATACCCGTTCTCCTCGAAGTTAAGCAATATTGAGCCTTGTCAGTACGTAGAGGGGTGAGCAGGACACACTGGGTTTTATAGCCTGGGTTGGAAGTCAGTCTACCGTAGAAAGTAACGACTGCCTACTGCGGGAATTCTGCCAAGTCAATAATGAATCAAAACCAGACATGATTGACAAAGCGTCCATGACACATGGCGCTTAAGGGAGAGAGGAAAATGTAAGGAAGGAAAGAAGAAAGGACTATTTACAGGATTTTTTAAAGTTAGAATGAAGTGCTTTGCTGTTGTGTTAAGTGAAGTGTAATGTAACCATCTACGTATAATCCGGCAAATATAAAAATATTATTGATGATTACTTAAACTTAGAATGAAATAGTTTGCTGTTGTGTTAAGTGTAGTGTAACGTAACTATCTACGTATAATCCGGCAAATATAAAATTATTATTGATAATTACTTTACTACATTTTTAACGCTTTTAGATTTCGATAATAAAGGAAAAGTGAATGATTTACTTTAGAATTACAATGAAAAAATATCAATAACCAATTTTTCTGTGGTCAGTGTTGTCTTTTTCCCATACCAGTGCTACGGATCAAATATTTAAATGAAATGAGATAGGTAAAAGATCAGTCTAATATGTAAATTCAAACTGTAGATGCCAAAATCAAACAAGTTAAAAAAAAAAAAATCCTGGAAGTGTTTTAACAGAGTATGGAAAGTGTGACAGCGAAATCCAAAGGCGCGTTGAGATAGCGAAAAATGCCTTCCAAAAGCTGAGCAAGGTATCAAGAAATAGGAACATTTCGTTAGAAACAAAGAGAAAAATATTGAACTGTTATGAAACATATATAGCAAGAAATACTGGATAATCTACTCACAGATGACGAAGAGACTTGGAGCAACAGAAATGTTGTTTTGCAGAAGGATACTGAGAATGTCATACAGCAAACATGTAAGCATCAACGAAGTTTTAAATAAAATAGAAACAAAAAGGAAACTTATACTTAACATCAGTAAGAGACAGTTGGAATGTCTCGAGCACATAATGAGGAAAGTGGGCTTGGAAAATTTGATAATCAAGAAGGACAGAAGAAAACAAAGCATAAATGGATGGCGAAACATGATTTAAGAGTTGTTTTTGTTTAGCGGCATATCAACACCTAAATGGGTTTTTTAATGACTGAATCTAAATATTTTGCTTTCAATCTTTTTTGGAGATAATAATAGATTATTGATACAAATATTACTAATTAACCCATAGCAATGGGAAGAAGAGATGAACTAATACTTTACAGCATTTGACATTCCCAAGCGGTCACCCATCTAGGTACTAACCAGGCTCAACGTTGCTTAACTTCGGTGATCGTACGGAAACCGGTGTTTCAACACGATGTGACCGTAAGCCAACGTTTCGGAGACATAACTAAAACACAAAATGTATTAAGAGCTACAAAGGACAGGAAATTGTGGAGAGTCATGATCGCCAACTTCCTCAAGAGACACCGTATACAGAAGAAGATGGATTGAACCGTTTTCTACGGTGTATCAACCTTTTGCAGTTTATTTGAATCCAGTAAGTACTTTTAGATAATAATGTTTTAGTGATATAAGTCTTACTAATAAACACACAGCTGAGGGGAGAAGAGGTGGTTTTATTCTTTTCCCAAGGGTAAATGACTATAACGAACCCATCGAGAATTGAAACTCGACTCTCCGACTAAAAATACCGGGGCATTATACATTACACCGTCCGCACACACAAGTTTACGATACATTGTATACACAAGCTGTCACCGATATAGGTATTGACCATACCCAACGTTGCTTAACTTCGTTGATCTTATGGGACTTGGTGTTTCAACGTGATGTGGCCGTAAGTGTAAAAAAGAAGCTGAAAGTGGAGAGGTCGAACGTTTTTGAAGATCAACGCGAGGTTGTCAAATCAATGAAACATTTGCCTTTTTCATGGGTCATTTTGCTCAGCAGTGAATTCCTGAACCAGGAGGCCTTGGTGATCAAAAATAAGAAATAGTCGCAGACAAGCGAGAGAAAATAATCCAAACAATAAAGATCTAAAGAAAGATATGGAGATTTGCAAGAATCAGAGGCCAACACTTAGATTAAAAAAAAAAATGAGGAAACCAAAAACAAGTTTCTTTCCAGTGTGTTCTCTTTGACTGTTTTCTTTGATCACCGTATGTCTTCTGTCCTTTTTTACTTTTTTATTTGGAATAGAATTTTATTTCTTGAAACTATCAATAAGATGTCAAAGCGTCCGGAATAAGATGAGAAAAAAAAATAGCAAAAAAAGGCAATCAAAAACGGGAAATAAAATCTTGAACATAGTGTTAGAACGAAGACGTTCATCGTGTGCATTCAATGGAGTGTGTTTGTATGTGAGTATATATGAGTAAGATAGATAGAGAGAAAGAAGAGAGAGAGAGAGAGAGAGAGAGGGAGAGAGTGAGAGAAGGAGAGAGAGGAAGAATTTTATTGAAAGGGAGAAACAGATATAGAAAGAAAAGTAACCTAAAATAATATCCCAAACGATGAAAAATGAAAGCAGGAAGAATAAAAGAAAAGAAAAGAAAAGAAACTGCGCATTTTAAAATTAAATTGAGATTTTGTATAAATCAAAACGCGCCATAAAAATAATAACAAGAGTAGCAAAAAAAAAAAGAAAAGAAAAGAAAAGAAAAGAAAAGAAAAGAAAACAAAAAAAAACAGCAAAACAAGATGGCTACCATATTTTGCGTTTTCAAATAAAACCGGTCCAGTCACAAGATACAGTTACTTGAAAAAATAATTTTATTTTAATTTTTCTTATACTTGAAGACTCATAACACTTGCCAACTTGAAAACTCAGAAAAAGAATGATCGTTCATATATATATATATATATATATATATATATATATATATATATATATATATATAAAAGAAAATAACTATGTTGGTGTAAAATACCTTAGACCATAAAAAATTCCGAACAAGGAAAGAAAAAAGAATGAAAGACCAAAAAGCAAACATCTCAGTAAAGGGATCAACATCGAGATTACCTAGACAGAAAAAAAAATGCATCACAACGCCAAATCCTAACAAATGAGGCATCCTGGGTAAGACGATAAACTACATCCAGCAGCAAGGCCTCTGATCAGTAGGTTTTGAGGAGCGTGAAACAACCTCTTAATTTCTGGCGTTTCCATGTACACCCTGACTCAGGCTGGTAGCACCTGTTAGGGTCCCAGCTATGGGAAAATAGTTAACACCTAAATTGGGGTCAAAATCCTATGAAAGCGTAAAAGTAGGTTTTAATACTAGCAATACATTTTTGTTAATAAATTATTACCAGCAATGAATTTTTGAAGAAAAAAAAATTACCAGTAATTCATTTAAAAAAAAAAAAAAATTACCAGCAATACATTCTTGAAAAAATATATTTCCAGCAACACATTTTTGAAGAAAATTATTACTAGCAAATATTGTTTACATTAAATAAGCCATTGAGGTTGATTTGCCGTAAAACAAAACAAAACTTAACAAAGTGCAGCCCGAGTCGTTACTCGAGTTTCACGCTCTTGCGAACTTCAGACGACGAGAATTATATATTCGGGTGGGGGGAGCGAAAACTCACTATCGAAAATTGTTTCGTTGAATATGACAGAAAAATTTAATGAATTCTATATTGAGTTTTTCTAGTCTTATTAAATTTTTCTGTTTAAACAAACAATATGCATCACATAATTACATCTTAAAAGACAATCATGAAAAGAAATTAACAACAATTAATAACAATCCCATTGGCTAAAGAAGTGACCGAAATCATTTGGGTTAATAGACACTATAGAATAGTTTACACTCCTTTACCGGACCAAGAAGAGAAATTTAAGAATACTAGAAAAAATAATCAATAAAAATTCAAATTTTCCTTGCCTGTCATATTTAACGAAACATGTTTGAAAGAAAGGTTACTGTTAAAATATACATTATACTTATATAATGTCCACTTATATATATATATATATATATATATATATATATATATATATATATATATATATATATATATATATATATAGAAATACCGAACTCTCCCATCGCTTTTTTTCGACATATGAAAGTCAAGCAACTCACTTCCGAGGAACTGAGAGCCAGTGACATGCACAGGTGATTCTATTTTAGTGGTGAAGGCTGTGTGCAAAACCAAACACACTTTCTGAACAGCCGAATACAGAGACCTGGTGCACCACGTGTCACGAGGTTCGCAAACGGCCCTCTGCAGGTTTTGAATTCAGAGTTGTCATTCTCGAAGACAACTTGCCATCCAGGGCTATAGAACCAGGTCTGTCCTGCTATTTACGCATATAGTTGGGTGGGAGAAGAAGAGGTTTCATACATTTCCAAGTAAGTGAATGTAATGGTTTAGACTGGAATTCGAACTCGGCTCTCCGAGCGGCTATCCATTTCTCCACCGTGCCTTCCTTCTCTCTTTATCTCCCCCCTCTCTCTCTCTCTATATATATATATTTATATATCTTGACTTCAATGTTCACCTTTCTCTCTATATATTTCTCTGTCTCTCTGTTTTTCTCTCTGTCTCAGTCTCTCTCTCTCTCTCTCTCTCTCTATATATATATATATATATATATATATATATATATATATATATATATATATATATGTGTAAATAAATATAAATAAATAAATATATATATATAATTATTTATATATTATATGCGCGGTACTTATTAGAAAGCGCTCACCCAGGGTCACAAACTCACATCTATCAACCAAATATAAATATATATATATATATATATATATATATATATATATATATATATATATATATATATATATAGTGGGGAAATAAATATTCGTACACTTGAAAAAATTGTATTTTTATAAAAGCCTTAAATAAAACAAATCTCGGCACATTTTATGTATAAAGACACATACTATTAAAAAAATAATAATAAACTTAATTAATTCTTATTCTAACAGAAATTAATGCATTTTTTTCATTCTATCTGGTGAAAAAAGTATTCGTACAAATCAATTATTAGAATAAAATAATCAATTAATTATGAAAAAAGTATATTCTAGAATGTTCCAGTAATGTTATCAGTAATTATGGTTAACGCTATTAGCCATTATCTGAGCATTCTGCAATTTCTAGTCTTACGAGAAGGTTCTAATAATGCCTAAAGGTAAAGAATTGGCTATTTCACAAAAACAACACATTTTGTCTCTTTGGAAAGATGGGAACAGCTAAAGAACGATTTCTAACAACCTGAATATTCCTTTTACTACAATTGCTTCGTTCATTACAAGGTTTTAAACTCGTAACAGCGTCGAAAACAGAAGACGAACAGGTGCGCCGAGGAAGATTTCTCTAAGATCAGCAAGGATGTTAGGACACCAGATCCAACAAAATCCACAGATTACCCGAGAAGAGCTGCAGGAACATCTGCGTGCATTAGGGATTAAAGTAACCAAGCGTACAATAATGTAAGGAACTACACAAAAACAGTCTGAAATCACGCATCTCAAGGAAGACTCCACTCCTCTTGAAACGATACAGAGATGCTAGGCTAAAATTCGTTAGAGAGCATAAGGTTAAAGAATATTCGTTTTGGGAAAAAGTACTATGAACAGATGAAACTAAAATAGAGTTGTTTGGTCATAATTATCGAAATCATGTGTGGAGGAAGGACGGTGAAGCCTACTTACCAAAGAACACGTTCCAACTGTAAAGTTTGGTGGTGGCAGTATCATGATCTGGGGCTGTTTTTCTGCAAAAGGTGTTGACAGAATATCAATAATAGATGGAAAGATGAATGCCGAAAGATACCAGAAAATCCTGCAAGACAATTTAATGCGTTCTGTTGAGAGACTTCGTCTACCTCCTGATTGGGTTTTCCAACTGGATAATGATCCTAAGCATACCGCTAGATCTACAAGGAAATGGTTAACTGGAAGTAACGTTGATGTCTTGCAATGGCCAAGTCAGTCCCCAGACTTGAACCCAATCGAGAATTTATGGCGATATTTGAAAATTCAAATTGGGAAAAGAGCACCAACAAATATCAAGAATTTGAAGACAATCAGCCAAGAAGAATGGAACAAAATCCCACTCAATGTGTGAAAATCCTTAGTTGAGATGTACAGGAATAGACAGGTAGCTGTTGAACTCAATAAAGGATATTCCGCAAAGTATTAAATTAAGTTAATATGCTTTTTTTGTTTTGTACGAATACTTTTTTCATCAGTTAAAATGAAAAAAATGCATTAATTTCTGTTAGAATAAGAATTAATTAAGTTTATTACTATTTTTTAATAAAATTTATCTTTACACATAAAATGAATCAAAATTTGTTTTAGTTAAGGTGTTTTTTTAAGG